TGCTATAATATGGCGTACTACAAAAGAAAATCTTGCCCATCACTTAAACTAATTGGCAGGACATCTAGAGCAAAAAGATGGCTGTAGAAATTTAAAAAATGCACATTAAATAATTAAAATGAAATAGATTCAACAAGATAGCTGTGCTGATATGCCTAAAATGAAGTGAGAATTGGATGCCATTCTACCCCAATTTGAAGTGGACATCAAGTTAGAGCCTGGATTCTACACCAAATAGTCTGCATACGACGCAAAATAGCTTTATCTTTCATGAAGATAGGGAAAGTTCCTGGATGGATTTTCACTATAACTAGGAAATTTAGGGATTTTCGCTACTCAGATGATCTGCCAACTTTTGCAGGAGTTTAATATTTACAGAATAAAGACGCAGATAGGGCTTCTAAAATGAAGTTGAAATGAGAAAATATGAGTGAATGCACATTAAAGACGATAGATGATAGTCTATGAGGTTGGTACCGTGGTAGCCATAAGGGTGTAGAGAGATATATTCTGTGACTTAAGCATGGCAAAAGCATCTTCTCAACTTTATGCTTTCCCTTTTTCTTAGTGTTGCATATTCCTCTTTCTCTTCTTTCATTCGTCCTATTCATCATCAACCCTATCCTCGTCCGATATTAGGCCGAGAAAAAGCTAATTCGACACCTCTAGTGCTTGCTGGCTACCCAAAAAAGACCAGCGAACTGGCCGTCCCATCCAAGTCAGTAAGGACAACTGAAAAACCTGAAGCTCATTCTACGGCCACTCGAAATGGGTTCGGAAAGACTCTCGTGACTGAGCTTCCCGGCGAGCTGAATGCCAAACGGTCTAGCACTGCTTCGCCAGTCTTACCAACGGTTCCCGAGGAACTGGACGTCGACCAGAAAGGCGTGAACTTTACTGGTTCTGATAGCCTCTTAGAGACAGAATCAGGGATAGGGAGTCGGCTGAGCTCCGGAGAACGTGCCGCCTTCTTAAGGGAACACAATGAGTTGCGACGATTGGTTGCGAGAGGAGGAGTCGAGGGACAACCGGCCGCAAAATTTATGCCAAATTTAGTAAGCCAGTGCTGCCAAGTTTCATGAGTATGAACCTATGACTAATTCCCTATTCACGAATTCATGATAGTCTTAAAACTACTTAAAGCAAAATAAGTAGCCTTGCCGATTTCACTGACAAATACGTCATTTTTAAATAGGCAATCCCACTTTAGATGTGGCATGAAGGAAGCCTGGCTTTCCTCGAATGTCATAACTCTCTTGTGATCAACTGGCATCCGTGGCTATAAGGTTGAGGGGTAATATCGCCACGATACTAATGACTTTGTATCAAACCCCGTTGCTGGGGCTAATGGGTCCTAGATGAGGTCTAAACGACAGTATACTCTAGATGAGAACCATTTGGGAATCAACGCTTGCTGAGACTCATATGAGTGTGAAATAAATTCATTTATAATTCCTTTAACCTTTCTATGTGAGTTAAGGTGACTAAATTACTAAAACAGAATGAAATCTTGCAAATGACCAAAATGTTTCACGTGCCGGGTCCGCCTTTGAAAGTATTATACATAAAATGGACTCCGAACTAGGTGCGTTCCTTTAAGTCTTCCTACCAATATGACCAAGTTGCAAAAAAAGGGTCATACAATCTCTATACATTGAAAGAAGACTGCGACTACACAAAAGGCCACACCATCTTGGTCTTCATAATTTGGATTAAAGTATGGAAGTAAGATTGCAAAACAATGCACTGATTACAGCCGGACAAAGAAGACAATTGTAAGTCAATCCTGCCATTTGGCCTTTTTTGAATTGTTGCAAACATTTTGGTATTGCTCCTCAATTCTGCAATGTAATGAGGAAGTGTCATCCGGACACAGTTAATGAACTACTTTATCCCACCATCCAGAAAGTAGAGAAAAGTTACAGACTAAGAGGCGTAAGCTATTTAAGTTCATAAATCTCAAATATAAATTAAGGAAGGATTTAATTAGGGTTCTCGCTTTGAACCAACAAGAAGTCACAGAGGGTGTGGGATATGATAAATAAGCGACATGACAAGAAATTGCTTAGCTATGGAATAATAAGATAGCGCAAGACCAAGCCAACCCGGGCGAATTTTGATGTTTCTTTATTGAAGGCATCAACTGCTACAGACGACGATAGGACAAAGGTAGTAAACCTATCTTCAATCCCT